ATTGTTCCATATATAAATACTTAATCTTAAGTGAAGTTGTCCAGCAGACCAGTTTATAGAAGCAGATGTCCCCCACACACCCTCAGGAGTTTTGTGACCTTGAAATAGCTTGCTTGAGGCTTTTGAGATTGAAAAAATTTTAAATGCTGGCTAAAATTCTGAATTTGGTACCTAGCTCTTCAGTAACTTGCTATGACCAATTTACCTTTTTATTAATATAATTTAGAAAAATTAATGTTTCATATTTAGTCATGCAATTGTTTAGAAATGTCAATATATTGTCTTTTAAGGGTCTGTCAAAGAATAAGTTGTTATTTAATCAATATTTGTCATTGTGAATAACTGTATGTAAAGGTCAATACATACTGTATTATGCTTCTGGGAAAGAGTATTTCAGTAAATATGAAATACTTCACTAAAAGTAAATACAGAAGATACATAATACTCAAAATTACTCAGGAGAAATGAGAAATCCCACCTGATGTAGTTTAGAAATTAGTTTGCTTTGAAGTATATTATTTCTGACTCCCTAGCCATAGCCTGTATTTTCATTTTAAGTTCTCCATGATATTTTTTAATCTGCCTCTGCACTATTTGTACGTCTAAAAATTTCATTGCTGTAAACAGGAGACTTGGATATGTGATGAATGAAGTGTTGCAGCTGCCTGAGTAAGAAATTTTTGTGGAGCTAAAGATAGACTTGTCTCTTGTATCTATTCTTTGGCAGAGAAAAAGGGTGATTGAAGAGAAGTAGAGTATATGAAAGCACAGCTAAAATGCAGACATGCTGACATTATAATACAGCATCTCGTCGGGTGATGTGGTGTTTTGACTACATGGCTACAGCAGGTCTATAATTTAAATGCCATTAATGGCACAGAAAACAATAGTGCGGAGACTGGAATACTGTAAAATCTCTGGGTCTGTACTTATAATGCAGATGAAATGACCCTTTGAACTTGTAATGCCAAATGTTGTCCAAAGTTACCATTCTTCCATGAGGAAAGCAGTTTGCTTCTGTGGTGTTTTATGTCTTCTTCTCCTAGCACAGACATTTTCTGTTTAGATTGCTTGGCTTGTGTCCCTACAAAAATCCCAGGCAAAGGGGGGCTGATTCTATTTTGCCTCACTCATGTCCTGTTCACACATTCAGTACAGAATTCACTATTGTCAATAGTAATGACTGTGTTTTCTTTGTGCTCGTTGTCTTTTGAATATGCTTCTTTATACTTTTCCTAAAGTCACACACAGCACTAGTTTCACCAGAAGCTCTTGGTGTTCAGCTGTAACAGAGTTACACATAGTCCTGTGACTGAACCCCGGCTATAATATCTCATTTGTTTCCACTTGGCTGTTGTAATGTTTTCTACCACTTACACTTCTTGTCCTTTCCCTTGCTCTCTTTCTTCCTTTTTCTTTCTTGCCCCCATTTCAAATTGTATCTGACTTAGTTTTAATTATTGAACTTAACTGTGTGTAAGTACATGTTTCTGTACCCTCACAGATGTCAAACATTTAATGCACCTTAGTGTAATGTTTGCTCTAATTATTTGCCAAATTGGAGTGAGTCTTTCCAGAAACAGTTCCTGATCTTTGAAAACCTTGCAAAATGTATACGATATGTTAATTGTGAAGCTTTTTTCAGAGCATATTTCAAAGGAGGAGAAGAAATGCTGTGTAAGTAAAACTTGTTTAAAGTGTTCCACCACTTCTAGCAGGAGACTGTTACAACAGTTGCATTATTTCTTTATCCTGATCGAATGCCTTTGTAAATATCACTTGGGCTTTTTTTCCCCCCTTTAAACTGGTTCACTGTGTGTGTAGGTCTGGTACTATACCATGTAAATACTTAGCTGTTTCCAATTTTGGCTAAGTGGATGAACTCTTGTCAAAATATTCATGCAGTGTTAACAAAACTTAAAGCCAACTTAATATTCCATGAACTATTACAAAATATTAAAAGCTGCTAAAGGCATAGGTATGGAGTTTCAACAAAGTTGTTTCTCTTTATAGTACAAGTCTCAAATTTGAAGTGTGGTAAATGTGGGTAGTTAGGTATGCCTTTCTTTTCTCACTTAAAAACAAATCATACCTAATATTCAAAGTGTATGGAGTAGACATGGATCTACTTAATACTGAAGGTAAATAGAATTGAAGAAGAATAATTAATTTATTCTTATTAATTTTGTATTAACTTAGAAACTTTGCATCTTAGCAGAAGTAATTTATTGGGCATTTTCTTTATCTAGTGTGTCTCAAGTGTATAGAAACAGGGTCTTTCAAGTCTGTGGTCATCAAAATGGCTTTCAACTAAACCTGTGCATTCATAGAACTCAGGTTCTTCCAAAATATTGATGCCAGTATGTGCAAAGAAGGAATCTTAGGAATGTTTTGGTCTTGGAAGGAATCTTGATTAGAATAGTCAATAAAATACTAAATGGTACAATTTGCCAACTGAAAGCAATTGTCTTTGTTTATTTCTTTCTCAGTGTAGTGGGTTCAGTGCTGGCCAGGTCCACTTGGTTTTTCCCTTAACCAAAAACCAAGCCATTTCAAACCACTGCACTCAATACTATTATTAAAGAAAGATTTCTTGTGGGCCACTATTCCTGGCTACTGCAATCAGTACTTCTCAGTTTTGTTTGAAGTGAAGTTAATAATTTGTCTTGCACTTGTTGCCACAAACTCTGAGGAGTAGCATGAAACCGAAGCAGAACTTGAGAGAAGTACGAGATAGCATTTACCCAAACTTGCTTTTAGTTAGATCAGAATAGGAATTAGTGAAATAACTCTCCTTAGTGACAGGTTTGGTAAAATCAGTCTTAGTTATCACACTGTTTTCCTACTTAGGAAATAATTTCTGAAATGAAAGGGAACTATTCACACTCAATGGGATTTAAATACAGAGTGAATCTGCACAATTTATCCGTATCAGAATAACACACTATGCACTTTGAAAATTTTTTCCTTATACCTTGTACACAAGTAATTTATTCAATACCAGAATGATTGTTAGTTTTTTCTGATCAGCCTCAAGTATATTTTATAACCTGAGCACAGTTCATTTCCTGATGTAGCAGTGCAGTCCCAGCTGCCCTCACAAGAGCAGAATTCCAGATGTTCCTGTTTTGCTCTATGGAGCGGTGCTGTAATTGTTGGACAGCAAGGATACAATTTGGCTCTGTGATAATGCTGTATCTGTAGAAATAATTTCACTGTGGCTGTAGGAATGTGTGTATACATTAGGAAGGAAATTATATTATGGATTTCAGTCTTTAAATGCATTCATATGGCCCAGGTGATTGCAAGAACCACTTGGATTTGAGAATATATTTATGACATTTGAAGTATCATGTAAGGAAGGAATTAGCCATTATCTAAAGCAGCATACATGGTAACAAAGCCAGACAGATTTGAACCTGTCACTCATTTAATAATTCACATTGGAAAAGGCACGTGAGATCATTGTGTCCAAGAGCAAACCTAACACTGCCAGGTCTACTACTTAAATCTTGTCCCAGAGCACCCACCATGTGTGCATGTCTTTTAAGTACCTCCAGGGATGGTGACTTCATCACTTCCCTGGGAACCCTTTTCCAATGCTTGACAGGCTTTTTGGTGGAGAATTTTTTTCTAATATCAAATCCAAATGGTCCCTGGTACAACTTGAGGCCATTCTCTTATCCTGTCACTCGTTACTTGGGAAAAAAGGACACTTGACACTCAGACATGCTTTGCTGCAGCCTCCTGTGAGGTAGTTATAGAGAGTAGTAAATTCTCCCGTGAGCCTCCAGACTTGATAGCCCCAGTTCCCTTAGTTGCTCCTGGGTGGACTTGGGCTCTAGACCCTCCACTTTAATCATGCAATTTCTTGCTCTAGTCATGACTGCAATTTGTATCTATGTAAGAATTTCTGTATGCTCGGCTTTGAGTGTTTCTCCTGCTGCTTCATGGAGCTGTTTTTATAGGACACTTAAAGTTTAATAAAGCTTGGAGTCAGTAAAAACAAAGCACGTGAGAACAACTTTAGTTGTGGTTGTTCCCATATTTTTGGTATTATTTCAGAATATGTCCTACTATGGTCAAATGTGCATCTGTTCAGATTTCTTGAATATATTTGTGACTGGGTTGGGGGCTGATCCCCGGTTCCTTCTACATGTAATAGCTCCATTAAATACTGTGGATATTCTGGTTGTGGGTTATCCCATTTTAAATAATCTCTACAGATTATTTAAATGCCTGATCAGTTGGTCAGGGCAGAAATCTTCTCATGTGCCAACTATAGTTGCCACTTGTGACAGAAAAGATCAAATGTGGGTTTTTTCTGTTCTGTAACCCTCTGTGGCTATTTCTATTTTCCAAATTTGCTTAGGCTGAAAATTACTTTTTAGCAAAATTTAGCAAGACAGATTCTTGATTTCATGTGATGATACTGATGTTTTATTGTAATAGAAATTTGTAATCAAGATTATAAAAACTATTAACAGTATGCAGTTCTGCCTTCAGGATAAGAAAAATGGTGATGATTCCTGGAACCCTACTTTGTGGGAGAAAGATTGGAGGGGCTAACAACATGAGCTTAGGAGTGTGGAGAAAAGGATCTTCTCTCCCTTCTAGGCATGTAGAGTTGAACATTCAGTTTGCTTTGTGGTCTAGGTTTATTACTAAACTCTTGAGCAAGCCTGGAGGCATATCCTAAATGAGACTGCAGCTACACGGCTTTTAAACTCAATTAGCCCTCTCTCCTGTGCTCTGTATGCCCTGTCAGTTCTAATGGACTTTCCTTGGCTCTGTGAGAAAGGGAAGGTGTGGGAGTCTGCAGAACCAGCGCCCTTCTTCCCCCAGACTGGGTAGAATTGCCACATCTCATTGTGGCCCTTGGACAGCAGCAATTTAAAAGTTCTCCAGAATATTAAAATGTTAATTTTGCCTAAGCGGGGAAGACTGGGGAAAAAATGGATGGTCATTCAACAGCAAAGAAATAAGTTAGCTTCTACTACCTGATGTGAGACTCCTTCAGGGCCAAAGGAATACCAAACTGGGCTGTTCTTTGTGTCATGTCAACAGAATGGGTTGGCCCACAGTGATCTTCTGAGTCTTGTGGTCTGCAAAACGCAAACATGAGAGAAACCAACCCTATAACAACTAATAGCAAAAGAAGTGTCTTAAGAAAATTGCTATTCCCAGGAACACAGATTAGATAGTATTAGAGGGGTAGAAATTGTAGCTTACCATTAAAAAAACATAACAAAAATAAAGACAAAACACCTAATGATTACTTTATGGAAAACCCCATTTTTTAGTCTTCAAGCACAAGGAAATACTTGACCTGTTTTGAACAGCAGTGTTTTTATAGCATGCTTTTGTTGGATTGAAATATTTTTTTTTCTTCTCTGTTTGATCTAAAAGTCCAACTGTGTTAATTAAACAAATTAACGTAATGCATTAAGCTTGTAATATGATTAAAGGTATTACTAGAACTTTATGTAAGTTGTTTTTTTTTTTTTTTTCTCATTCTGTTAGTTTTGTCCTGCAATTGCAGTTCTATGCAAAACTGTAACTACATCTGGTTGAAAACTTAATACTTTTTTCCTCTGTGGGGAAAATGCAGGAGGTTTTGAAGAAATACATATTTTAATGGAAGTTTTTCTGGGAAGGCCTTTTGTATGAGTAAAGGAAAAAAAAGCCCCCTTTCTGCCCTAGAAAAGGTTGATGGTCTGGTGTTTTGGTGTGCCTCCAGAATGTCAGAGCTCTGTTGTCATTGGAGAAGGGCCTGGAAACCTGGGTTTCTGATATTTTCTGTGAAAGTCTTGATGATCAGATTATCAGTCTGGAAAGTGATCGTGCTGCCTACATTTTCTCCTCCTCTTTCTTTAATGATAAGCTCCTTTTCCCAAAAGAAAATTAAAATAAGTTAGACATACTTCCCTTTAGTCTAATCATAAAATTTCAGAAGTCTTTTTATCTCTCTGAGAAAGGAATATTATTTTCTGATCAAGTTTAACAGTAATGCATAGGTCCATTGTTCATGTTGTCTAGTACTGAAAAAAATATAATGATATAGTATGCTCTTAGTAATGAAATTGAAGCAACTGCCTGTGTATGTAAGGAGGATGCTGTGGCTGAAGAGCTCTGGAGCCATGGAAAATTCTTGTGTTTATTCTACCGAGTGCAAAGAAACACCTTGCTGTCTGCGCGCTTGTTGGTGTACTTATTTTACTTTATCCATAGTGAAAAACTAGAGCTAATGTTGAAAATGTATGGCCTTCTTTAAAAAATTCAAAACCAAGCAGAAGTAAACAAGTTTGAGGGGAAAAAAAAAATCCTCTTCATAAAGCCACAGTGACTCTCTGTGGAAGATGTGTCTGATGTGTCTATGTCACAGTCTGATGTGTCGAGATCTCTTTTCCATTCATACAAAAACATGAAAAAAATCTTAGCTGCTCTATTACATCATCTCTTTTGAAGTACAAATGCTAATTTAAATCAGTCAAATATCTGTCTAAAAGCATGTGTGCTAAAGTACTCCAGATCTTTTTTCTTTTTTTAATGTACTTGAATACAGGTATATCTGATTTTCCCTAAAGCTTCTATCAGTGCGGGAAGAAAGGTGATCCTTGAATCATGGTCCCTTGATCCTCATTTTTATTAGTTCATGTTTTAATGTTTACCACTTAAATGGGGTTTTGAATGTGCTTCTGAATCACTATTTTGCAAAAAAGAAACAGACACTGCAGTCCATCTCCAGCTGATTTCCCACCTTGCCTAAAAATTGGTGCTTTTCTCCTTTATTCTTTAGAAAAGATATTTTAAAATTAGATTCTGTTTTCCAGATAAGCTGCTCTTCACTTTTAATTCAAGGGAACAAGAGGTAGCCATTGGAGTATGTTTGATCTGTTTGAAACATTTCAGTCTGCTATGTCATTCATTCAGATGTTTGTTGGATGGACTTGAAAGTATGCTTTGGTTGCTGTTTAGAAAAATCTAGTGCCCTGTAGGTGCAATACATGATAAAAGGAAGTAATGCTCAAGACCTATTGTGTGTGGATTCCTGCATACTGTTTTTTCTCTTACTGCTTTTAGCTTGTTGACCTGCAGAAAAGATTGTCTCCATGTTTTGTTCCTGTTATCGATGTGAAACTCTTCATTTCAGGTACTTTTTCACTTTGCTTTGACCTGTTTTTATAGTTTTTAGTGCTGCCTGTTTAACATGTGTGCAGCAAACTGCTGCAGTACTGAGTTCCTGCAGATGTTGTGAGCCAGTATGACTTTTATAACTGCCTCTATGATGTTCAATCATGGAAGCCTTGATTTAGGAAGAAGAAACCCAATTCAATCATAGATGTCTTTAAATGTCCTGACCTACACCTGGAAAAAACAGTATAGCATTTTCTTGCACTGTCTGTGTGCTGAGCTCTCTGGGATGGTTTACTTTTGTGGCTTTAAAAAAATTAGGTAAAGTTTGGAGCCATCCAGTAATTGCATGTTCTAAGTTCCTTTTTTGCATCTACAGCAATCCTGTTAATGTTACCTCTTTAAAATCCTTTGTTAGTAAATATCATTAGATAAAAGGTTTTTGTACTCTGGATTTCTGCTCTGAAAAAGTCCATGAAATAAACACAGTATTACCAGCTGACTTCTGAGTTTAGGTTTACTGAGGGTTTTAGCAGGCTGTTAACAACTACACGTATGGCATATTTTACCTTCTGATTTGGGGGAATTTTGCTTATCAAATAACCTCTCTTCTGATTCCTTTGCATATAAACTCGTCCTAAAAGAGAGCCATTTTGTTTATTATGAATTCAAAAACCTGGAAATCTGAAAATTAATTTAGCAAGAGCATTCCACTGTTGAAATAGTGGCCAGGACAGTACTATTTTTCATCTGTATTTTGATAGAATAATTTTGTATATTTAACAAATCATAATTTTCATTATTTTCAAGATAAATTTCAGGAAGACAAACCTTAAACAGAGCGATATCAGTGCATTTTTCTGGGAGGGAAGTCAGACATCAGGACTGTCTCACAGCCTGTGTGCTTGTGCCTGGATGGGGGAGTTAAACTGTATAGAATAGCCTTTCACATGAGTGTGCTAGGCAGTGTTTGCAGGACATGCCATCTTTCTTTGTATGTTTCAGCTGTTTTGTTTCTCCCTGCTCCAGAAAATAGTATTTTCTGTGATGTATCCTAGAGCTTTCTCATTCCTCTCATCTCTATCATCAAAGCATCATATCGTAGGTATAAATGCAAGATTTTTCTTTCTTTTTATGGCAGTTTCTAACTAATGCTGCCAGGTTTGTCAAGTCGTATATGTAATCAACATTGTACACAGCTGTTTTTTAGAAAGTGGGATAGAAAGGGAAATAATTAAATCAGTAATACTGGTCAAGAGTTGCACTGAGGTATTTTCCAGGGGAAAGGATTTTAACAGTAAAGCCAGGACCCATTGGTCCTATTCTCTGTGCTTGTTCACAGCATTGTTTTAGTCCCTCCCTTAAGATCCACCAAAAATCTTGGCTGCAAGCCCCTCCAGTTTCGGGGAGGGAACTAGAAATATAAAGATTTAGTCTTCACTCTTTAAAACTGATATTCTAGCTCTTTTCCTTGCTAAGGTAGAATGAAACCCACAAACTATTGGTAAATGTCAACTAACCGCTAGACTTGAAAGAACCAGCAGCTGCTTTCTGCTTATGAAGCAGAGAAACTGTGTGGGAGGAGATGTAAAGAACCTCCTCAAATACCCACTGTAACAGAGGGGCGGGGGAGAGACTGTACTGAATACGGGGTTTAACCTTTAGAATTCTTCTTCTGTTCTCTCATGCTCTTAGACTTGTATGAAAATGCAAAATGGCAATTGATTTGTTTCAGGTAAAAGCATCAGACAAAGGCCCCATGCCACCTAAAACTAATTTCTGATAAAAAATGGAGTACTCAGCTTGCCTGTATCAATTTTGTGTCTGTTAAAGATTTATGGTATGAATCTCATACACAGTTTTCAAATGTATTTAATGAATAATTGTTTGCAAAGGGCTTGAGTGTGCCTCAAATCAGATGCAATGTTTCAATGCAGCAATATTATTAACAGCATCGTTAGTGTAGTATTGAAATGGCAACACTTAAGAATTCATCTACCACAAATCTGAAATGATGAGTTTGTCTTGAATGCAAATAAACATAGAGGAAATAGATTGGGAGGTATTCATTCATGATGTATAAAATGAGATCAAAAATAGGTCACAGGTTTATGTTAATATAAATTGAGACAAATTCTAGCTTGGCAACACTGACCTAAAAGCTGTCTAAACAAAGCAACTAATGTTTATTCTGCTTCTAAAAGGATGTCTGTATCTGCTGTTGAGAAAAGACAAAGGGTTGTTCTGGGATGGTTTTTGGGGTCTTTAAGAAACATATTTATAGATATTTCATCACTTTCTGATATGGAAAAAAAATATGTATAGCCTCATTAGCTCATGGCAAAAACTATTTTTAGCTCTTTTAAGACTATTTGTGAAAACAGACTAGAAAATGTCTGTTTGGATTGTTAGGGCTTTTTTTCCCTGAAAATAGTCAATTACAAGACACTTAATAAATTATCTGGAAAGTGTGATGGCAATCTGTCTTTCCTAAATGGAGACCTTTCTGTAGCTAGATGCTGTCTGTACTGGGCAGATGAAACAGCTCTCAAGGAATGATAAATATTGTTCAGTATGAGAAGACTGTTTTTACATTAACAACTCTCATATGAACAAAAAAATAAAAAGAATAGAACTTCAACTCTGTTATTTCACCTGCTCTTCTCTAAAACATGTCATTTTCTGTTTGCTGACTACTCCCACTATAGAGCGCTTGTCCACAGTCCTGGGAATTACTACTAACTCCCTAAGATGGGGGTGGGAAACTAGAACTGGTGAACAAGGGCTGGAAGGGTACCAGCTGGAGGATATTTGCGACAGATCAGAATAACAGGAAGAGAGTAAAAAAGAAATGGTCAGCACTTTTGGCTTTTTAAAAGTGGGGTGCAGATGACTTGCTGTTATGTTTTTGCAATGTCTTGTTTCCAGACTGCTAGCTTAGTCAGCCACATCTTTAATTTGCCCAGTTTATAACAGCTACTTTGGCTGCTACCACAGAAAGAGAAATTATAATTTCCAAGCTTTCATTTCATCCCTCTTACCTATAATCCTCAAGTTCCAATCTGTCTGACCACTTGACTAGGCTTTTTAATTAACAGATCTTCTTGGGGGCCCTTAAATGTGTTTTGCATATACAGGAGCACTAAACAGCCTTGGAAACTCTTGATGAGATGAAAAACATCCTGCTGGGAATATAAAATGGCACATAATGCCTAGAATAATGATTTCCATAATTGAAATTTTCATGTGCTGTATTAAAAGGCATCATTTACCTGGGGTCCTGTGCTTTTGAAAAGAAAAATGGCTTCGTTTCAAGAACTTCTCTGTTTAACTCTATCTCTACAAGGTTTTGTTGATTCCTCAGAGGAAGGCTTATGGGCTTGGCAAAAAAGGCACAAAGCTGAGGATGAAAACTAGCAATTGAATATTTTTGTGCAGTCAGTGATTCAGATGTACTTACTTGATTTGCTCAAATGAGGCAGGTGGTGGAGTTCTGTAATGATCTTTACTTTGTACCTGAGACCACTGATCATTTGGCTGAGGCGGCACATTGTTAATGATGTGTTAATAATGTAATTTTGGAAGGCAGACTCTTCGATAGAAGGTAACAGCCCTCCCTACTGCCACTATCTTAATGTAATCGAAGAAAACATCTTGTTTTAATAATTTACTAATTGAATGGCACAGCAGCTAATGTCTGGGATGTACCTTGGAGACCTGATTACGTGTTTCATCGACTTCTGGGGAACTGACACAGATGATGATGGTCAAATTGCCCTCAGCTCTCTTCACTGCTGATCTGTAGCTCTGTGGTGATTTATCTAGAAGATAAAGAAATAAAGAATTTTGTTTGACACTTCAGGATATGTCCAATAGATCAGCCAATAATTGATCCTGACATTCCCTAAGGAAAAATCTCTAGTGTCACTGTAAAGGTCTTAGTGGTTTTGTACAATCTATACTTTTCTTCAGATTTTCAGATAAAATAAGTTTTGCTTCAAGCCAGCTCTAAGTGAAATTAGTTTATTCAGAATATTAAATGTGACACAATACTGTCAATAGGCCTTATATTTTCAATAATTTAAACATCATAAATAGGTACCTCAGTGGTATTTTTTCCATGCTGTTCGGACTTGCTGTTCATGTAGGATCATTCAGACATATGAAACAATAAAAAATTGCCAGAAAATGAACTCCAGGATTATTTTTTCAATACTACAGATAAGTGTTGGCAAGATCAGTTTCTGAAAAATCAAATACTAGACCCTGTGTATGTTGTTTTTTTTTTTCCATAGTGTAAGTCTGAATTAATTTTCTCTTACAGAAAATTAATCCTACTTAACTATTGAAATGCAGGTCTAGGCAATAGTCTGATCTTTACTGCTGACATGCATCAGTCCTAATGAAACCTGCACCACTCCTGCACTTTTTAAGTTGCTCTGAATATTATTCCAATCTCAACCTGCAATATTCAAAAGCATGTGAGGAACTACATAAATGCTTCCCCCTGTCACTGAAGTGCAGTGGATTAGGTGATGGGATTATCAAAGTCTTCTAAATTCTTGGCACTCAGGGAAGAAAATGCCAGGGCTCAAGTAACAAATATTTGAGTTGCTTCTCAAAGACATTTTATTAAATTGGACTCCTTTAAACAAGTTTAGTATCAAGTAAGTACGGTATATTAGATCTAATTTTTTTTTTTCAATTCTATTCTTTTTAGTGGTCTAATGGTTACTTTCTGAAGAACTTTTGGCCTTGCAAAATACTGTCATTACACAGCATGTTCTCAAAAAAACTGGTGTCTAGTATTAACCATCTTGTGGTTTCATGGAAGACATTTTGAGAATTTCGGATCCATCTTGTTCAGCTACGCCTTCTCTATTATGATTAATGGAGGAACATGCACATTTGAATTCTTTGAATAGCTTTAAAAGTCTCACATTTTTTATTTGTCTATTTTATAGGACATGAAAAAAGCCCCATCACCCCTCAGGGCATTAAAGAACAGTGCTTTAATTACACAATGCCCATTAATGCTAATAAATTTCATGCTAAGGACCTATGCTGTACCAGTGCCAAGGAAAACATAAGTCTCCTTCCTTTTCAAGCCCCGTGCCACACTCTGCCTGGACGTGCGGCCATTAAAAGGAGCTCCGTTGCAAAGACAGACATTAGACACAGATGGAAGATTTCGTGTTGACTTTCAACAGCTTCTATAGGTTGAAATAACGTTAACATTTATTTTTCAAGTAATCTTTAGAAGTATATAGATAGAAATAGGTGACAGAACGTGTGTGAAATCAAGTGATAATATTTTTCATTGCTCCACTCTTTCTATAATCTGATATAACCTAAGTTTTCTCTGGGAAGATTACTTCATAATGATACTCTGAAGAATGAGTTTACCAGCTGTATAAGTGTATAAGATAAAGGATGTTTCTAGCTGTTCATAAATCTTATTTGATTCTCTGCTGTTTCTCTTACCTAAGTCATTAACTGCAGCCCCCTTTTTTTTTTTTTCTCCCCATATAGCTCTTCTGTTAGTATGTCTAGAATTTGACCTCAGAACTAAATCTCCTTTTATCTTGGAATATTCCTAGAAATCAGGCAATCATATTATTCTTGATGTACGTGTACAAGTACAACAGTTCTACTTTGAGGGTTGGTGGAGTAGAGGAAGAGTTTGAGATTCAGTTTATGAGAATTTGAAGTGAGGGGAATATGGCAGTAGGTGTATGAGACTGGGAGATGCAGACTTTTTTTCATCTCTGCAGTAAGATAACATCTAGGATCTCTTTGTATTAACAAAAGAAAATGGTGGTTTGATCTGGGTGAGAATGGAGACCAAATGGACACAGCTATGCATTTAGGAGGGGCTGAATGATGGTTGGGTGGTAAAATGCATTAAAAGCCCCAAAATAATTTAGATGCTGACTGGCTATGAAGTTTTAGAACATGCCCAGACTTAGCAAGTGAGAGGACAGTGGGAACAGCCAAAGGAATGGGAAGAAATTTCATGAAAAATAAATGTGGATTTGTAACTAAATGTGCAGTGTTCAAGTTTTCTGATGTTCCTGGTATTTTACCTCAGGTGTAATGTGGATAACAGGGTTGGAATTTGGTTTTTTTTTTTTTTGTTTTTTTTTTTTAGTAAGTAGCTCTGGAGTACCCCCAATCCTTGTGTAACAATTAGTGTTGATATTCTGAAGGGGATTTATTAGTTAGTCAAAGAATTACCAGCCCTTTCTTTCTTAAGTCTTTTGGCAGGGCAGTCTTCACAAGCAGACAGAAGGGAAGAGAGGCTGTACCTGGGTTCAGAGTCAGAAATGTGCCACACCCTCATGGGCAGAAGGAAGGGGAAACATGAGGGTGAACCCAGCCGAGAGCTGAGCTCTCTGCCCATGGTTCTTCCTACAAGGCAGAGGGCCCTTCAGGGTCTTTTTAGAGTGCTCTCAGTACTTGTTTATCTTCAATCACAAACCTGTCTATTCAGGGCATTAATCACATTCTTAGAATGTTTATTATATAACATTTTCTGTGTTCTGTTTATACTGCATTAGTGTTCTGCTGCAGGAGTGGAAGACTTGGCTGAATTTGAGTGCCTCTGTAGAAGCAGCCTCCCATAAGACAAAGTATATTACAAGTGGGAAGTTTGTAAGAATGTTATGTGTTGATGAGCACTAATTATCAGAGCTGGGAGCATTTTGAAAACCTTTCTGATGACTAAAAACTCCATTTTACACCTCTACTTCCTAAACTGTCCATCTGGTGGGAGGTCATGTTATTTTTAACAGTACCTTCTTTTGCCACTGAATCCTAAAGGACTGAAATCACACTTAAAACAATAGCTTCTAATCTTATATACTGTTGTGAATATCCTTTTTATTTTTAAATTATTGAGCACCTTGAGTTGTCCCAAATCTTCCCCACCATAAATTGGACTTTCCCCCAACTTTGCCTAGTTCAAGAAGAAATCTTACTGTTGCTTTTTCTCCTGCTCTGCTTGCCTGCATTCACCTCACTGCTGCTCTCCCTGCTCAGAGGCAGACCGGTTCCAGCTCAGTGAGGAGTGCCAGTCATGAAAGTAGTAAACTTGTTATGAAAAACTTGAAAACTTGGATGTGCCTAGGTGCCAGGCTTTTAAACTCATTGCAGCTTTATTAATAACACCCTGGGTGAAGCATCTCTTAGTAGTAAACATAGTTGAACAGATTTGAGCTGAAAAGCTGGATTTACTTTCTTTTGGTTGCGTTATTGGGAGATGATTTAGAGCAACAGCCATGCACTCTTAGTTTGGATCATGTTAAACTGAAGGTTCTCCATGACTGAAAATGTTTTTTCTGACTTTACGAGAGCTTTCCCTCTCCTAACCCCTATAGTACTTAGCAGTTTAAAAAGAGCCCTGAGTCAAATAGCATTTGTTCAGCTTACTCAATAAGCACATATAATTTCACTTTTTCTTGAAACAGTCATTTCTGCTCTGCTTTTGAGATGACATATGTGCCCATGTGCTATTCTTCTCCGTAGTAGTTTCTACATGAAATCCATTTCCCTGAAAAAATGGAATCTTTGTGTCTTTGTCTCCTCACTAGCTTTCAGGCATGTTTTGGCAGGGGCTCTGACTGTCGAGGCACTGGAGAGGAGGGGCACTCATTTGTCAGCTTTTCTTGCATCTGTAATTTTTGCCCACTCAGCAGTACTGGAGGGGCTTAAAAAGGGGGAGAACTTGCAGTTGTTGAAAGTCAAACTCCTGAAATAATTGCCAGACTGTAACAGTTTGGGAAAGAGGTGCATGTGAGAGAACAACAAATGCTTTGGCTAAAACCAGCTTTATCTTTAAGGTTTTAGCAACTCTCCATTTCATGTAATTGCATGCCTTTTCCCCATAGATCTTTACAGGCAACGATACTGTGTTTTTATAGATTTGCTCATTAGTTGATAAACTGGCTTTTCTTAATGATGGTGAAAATAATTTCACTGGTGTTCAAGACTTGGTTGTTTCCAACCAACAGTTTAATTTAAAATGCTTAAGTCTTCTCCAACTTTTGTTCTAATCCTTTCCTGCAATCTCCCTTCACAAGCTGGGTGCTTTCATCTCCTCATGTAATGTAACTGAACAGAAATTAGTTAATTTTTTTATTATTAGAAGACAGATCCCTTCATACTAAGGAAAGCATTTTTCCTCTTCAGCTTTTTATGGAATATTAAAGTTGATCTCTCCTCGTTTCAGTAGGCTATTTAAGCTCAGGGCTCATACTGTGAGCTGTTAATTAATCAGTGTGACAGATGAAGAAAGTATCCAACTATGAAAGGAAACCTTACTTCAGTGACTAACAATAAGGATGTGAGCCCGAGTGATTTAAAGGATTTTTTTTTTTTTTTGTGAACGTGTGATAAGGAGCCTTAAGCTGTTTGAGGTAACGATGGGGTTTTTTTTGCTCAGATTGTGTCACTGCACAAACATTAAAGGGCTCATCAATATTTTGTCTTGAAAAGTCTAGACAGGAGTTAAAAGTGCCTCTCCTACAGTTTGAAGAGATCCTGTTTCCCATAATTAATACCAGGAAGCAAGTAAATAAGGCTTTACTGACAAATGAAACAGCAAGAGTAACATGTACCCAGAAACATTAGCTCCTGGCTGAGAAATGTAGCTGAGGTCTGTTGATTTTAGTGTACAGGAAAAGATCACTGTGGAAGCACAGAAGAGCTTTGCTCAAGTCTAATTCAGTTATGTGATAGCAGACTAAAAGTCAAAAAGCAATGATAATGCATTGTAATTATTGATAGTGATTAGTGACCTTTGTTTACATCTGTGTTACAG